CCAGAGAGAATTTTTAAATCCTTTAACATGTTAACTGGTCTTTCTGACCACAATATGACTTTAGTCACCAGGAAACTAACCAAAAAGCGTTTTAGCCCTTCCGTTAGGAAATATGAATCTTGTGGAATCCCCAGAAACAAATATGAGACCTTTACAAATGCTGTTGAACAGATTAAATGGGAAGATATTTTGCCTGGAATAGACCATGAAGAAGACAGTAAAATATTCTCAAAAACGTTAGAGAGGACTATTAACAACTTCAAATGCAAAATCAAGCATAGAAATAACAAACACACTGTCCCTTGGATAAATGAGGATATTTTCAGACTAATGAAAGAACGTGATCTAGTCTTAAAAACTGCAATCAAAACTAAATTAAGCCATGACAGAAGTCATTTTACTATGCTTAGGAATAAAGTTTTAAAGAAATTAAGGAAAGCTAAGGCAGATTTCTTTTTAACTATAATAGACAAGGCAGGAGGTAATTTGAAACTGATCTGGGACCAGTTAAAAACATTAACTGGTCATCAACATAAGGAAAGAAAACAGTTTGAACTTAAAGTAAATGGGAAGCTTATAAACACTCCAGGCGATGTAGCTGAAGTTTTAAATCACTATTTTATTGATTCTGTTGCTAACATTGCACAGTGTTTTTCTCCTGACTGCACAAGTAATTGTCAAATTGATACAATGGAGCCAGCTTTCAGCTTAAGAAACACAACTGAAGCAGAAGTTAAAAGAGTAATTAAATCCCTTAAACCATCTAAAGCAAAGGATATATTTGGTATGGATGCAGTTATGCTCAAAGACCTCAGTACAACTCTTTCTTATCCTATTGCCAATATCATCAACCTCTCTTTCTGTCAAGGAATGTTTCCAAATGTCTGGAAGCCGGCTGTAGTTATCCCAATCTTTAAAGGTGGAGACCCAATGTCTACCAATAACTACAGGCCAACTAGTATCCTTCCTACAGTATCAAAAGTTGTTGAAAAACTTGTAGCTGAACAAATTATGAACCATCTGAATAACAGTGCTTTTTCTCTGCATCCAATGCAATTTGGCTTTAGGGCCAAATACTCTACAGAAACAGCCAACTGTTTCTTCACAGAACAAATCAAATCCAAAATGGATAAAGGTGGTGTTGTTGGAGCAGTGTTTCTCGACTTAAAGAAGGCCTTTGACACTGTTAACCACAAAAAACTCATATCTAAGCTATCCAGCATTAACTTCTCCACACTAACACTTAAATGGATAGAATCATATTTGTTCAACCGTTCTCAGTATGTCAGAGTACAGAATAATCAATCATCTAACCTCGAGCTGTCCACAGGTGTCCCACAAGGGTCAATTCTGGGTCCATTGTTTTTTTCATTGTATATAAACGACTTACCATCGATATGTCCTGACACAAACATCCAAATGTATGCAGATGATACTGTAATTTATGTTCACGGAGGCAGTCTGACACAAGTGGCTAATGAACTGACGAACAAGATGGTTCATGTAACAGCTTGGTTGGAGCAATGCTGTCTGCAACTAATGTCAGTAAAACTGTATGTATGTTCTTCACCAAAACCAAGTCCTCCTGCGTTGAGCCAGATGTGTTTGTGTCCGGGGAGAGGCTACAGGTGGTCTCACAGTACAAATACCTGGGGGTCTTAATTGATTCAAGACTCAATTTTAAGGCTCAGGTGAAAAAGGTTTGCAACAGGGTCAAATTCAGTATGTTCAATTTGAGGTTTACCAGGAACTGCATGTCAACAGAGGCGGCTCTGATGTACATGCACTCTATGGTTCTATCTCATATCACATACTGCTTAACAACCTGGTCACATGCCTGCACAACCACTCTTAAACCGCTGGAATCATTACACAAACAAACACTTAAAATAGTAGATAAGAAGTCAGTTTATTCTCATCATTGCCCAATACTCACAAAATATAACTTGTTGAGCTGGGAAAATGTAATGAGATATGCAAATGCTTGCCTCATGTACAAAATAATACACGGCCTTAACTCACCTCCGCTCAGACATTTTATCACCATACGCACACCTGTAACTCGGTCAACAAGAGCTGTAACAAGAGGAGACTGCGTTGTTCCATTAAGGAAGAGTTCATTCAGCCAATCTTCTTTTTCTTTTAAAGCTGCACAACAGTGGAACTCAATCCCAGTAAAGATTAGAGAACAAAACACCTGCAGTTTATTTAAATCTAACTTAAAAACATGGTTAGTGGAAAGTCAGCTCTGTCAACACTGATACAATCTGTACATTACCACGCTCTGTTTGTACATATGCCTTGACCTGTATCTGTCTGCTTTGTGTATTTTAGTTTAGTTTAGTTTTTATGTTTTTATATATGCTTTTATCATAATATAAGTATCTCTGTTGAATGTTGTTTTACTGATTGTATTTACCTGTTATTTGAAGTTAATTTTTGTTTTTAGGATGACTTTTAACATCTGTCCAGGGACTACAGACGAAAAATAGCCTGTTGGCTAACTCTGGCGCACTTACAGAAATGTCAATCAATGTGCACTGTCCCTGCCAAATAAATATATAAATAAATAAATAAAAGTAGATGTTTACAATATAGTAAGTTAGGAATTTAATGAAAAACATATTTATTTACTTTTGTTTCAACATTGGATATTTTGTGTTTGTGGTGGATTCAATCGAATATTGAGAAAATGATTTATGTAAAAATGTTTTTTACTTACATTTTCCGTTTTTTTTATTTGACGCTTTTTTTTGACAGTTTTATGTTTACCTTAAAATTACAAAGAAATATCTTAAAGTCTTATAATAGTAATACACTTTTATATTACGAGTTACATATTTAATTACAGATAATACTTTTTATTGTACGAATATCTGCATGTATTTTCTGAAAGTGCAAAAATACTGTAAATATTATATAGTAAATTTACTGTAAAAAAAAAGGAAATAAACGTTATTTGTTGTTATTCTCAAAATACTTAAAATAATGTTTTGGGTTGTTAATTTATAGTTAATATCTGTCATTTTACAGGATTTTGCAAGTTATTTAAAAAAAACATGATAATTACTATAAACATTTACAGTTATTTCCTGTAAAATTACGATCTTTTTTTACAGTGTAATAGACTGCAAAACAGAGTAGAGTACTGCATACTCCAATGAGTTGTTTGTAACAGACTCACACTAACAATATATATTGTTATATGTCACTTAGCTTTAATCTCCAGTTGTAACAGATAATTAGTTGCATAACAAAAGTGATCAACGTATACATACAGATGCAGTCACAGAAATTCTGGAGCATTTACATCAGAATACAAGGACAGTGACATTCATTCAGTTTAGAGTTCCATTCCAATATGTTGTATGGTTGTATATGGTTATGTATAGGTTACATAATTTAATTGGGCACATAATCCAGTATACAGTTGTAAAGATTTCAAAGGGATCTACCCGTACAGCTTTTGCAAAGCAGCTCAGTTCCACAAAATGATGTAGATTACTATGATTTTCTCTATTCCAATTTAAAGACGAGTTTTATATCATTCTATATCATTCTATAGAATTCTATAGAATTTAGTATAGGTTGCATCAGAGAGAACATTTCATGCATGTTTTCTTTGAATGCTATAGATTTCTACAGATTTCTATAGATTTCTACAGATATGTCATGAGTCGGTTCTGTCCTATAGAATTCTTTAGATTGTTATAGTTTTAATTATAGAAGTTTATAGAAAAGTACACATTTATAGTATTCTACAGAATGATCTAGAGATTTCTATAGTATTCTATAGAATTCTTTAGCATGGCTTACAAATACGACTATGTTCTATAACATGCTATAGATTTGTACAAGATTCTATAGGATTTTATAGATTTTTTGCTAAGGGCACCGCCGGTGGAGCGGCTGTGTCATCTTCTTGAAACCAAAGCCCAAAGTGATGGCACCAGAGAACGACATAAAAAATTAACCGCTTTATCATGGCTCCCCAATGGGTGCTAGTTACCCCCTTTTGCCGTAAAAGCTGATATGCCGTTCCACCTTTAAATCACATCGCAAAAATATTTTGCATTTATTGTTTTTGCATGGATGGTAACACTTTTAGCACCCAGACAGATCAATATGCTGGAACAGTGTATTTTGATGCATTCATCCCTACATCCCTACTTCCCCTCATCCCTACATCCCTCATCCCTTCTACCCATACAATGCCCGTAATCAGCCCGAGTAGATCATGCCGGAGACGGAACCCTCTGAGTCTCCCTCTGCACGGACCACAGCACGTCCTCCCAGACCAGAACATCCCATCACTCCCTCCATATCAATTAATGTGTTACTTCTTGTAATAAACCTACAAACATCACACTGTTTTGGCGTGGTCCCTGCTAATGAAAAGTGCTTAGTCTGCATTTAACCACCAATTGGGTCTGACCTCAGCTCCTTTATCAAGATGCAGAAGAAGCATCACCTGTAGCCTGACGGTCAAACAGCTTCAACCGTTATGCTGCAAATATCTCTTCAATTGACTTCAGTTCATCCTCCTTCTCTCTCTTTTCCTCCCTCTCTCTCTTATCCTCCCTCTCTCTCTCCCTATTGCTGCTGTCCATATATCAGTTGTTGTTGTAAAACGTTCTTAGTGTAGCCTTTTTTCTAGTGCTTACATCCTGATTGCTGAGTCAACAATAAAGCAGTTTGGTGTTTACGGTCATTAGTACATGTGTGTTTGTTGCTTGGTTCATGTGTGTAGAATTTTTAATGGCAGTGTTTTGAAAATGGCAAACAAGTGAATATATCAGATGTCTGTGTCTTACTTAGAGAACCGTGTGCAGTGTTTTGCAAAAAGTGCCAAGCTGAACTGCAAACTGGGTGCAGAGCTGAAAGTGTGTTTAGAGTTTTGGAGATTTGAGCTGAGGTTTTGCTCTTTGAGTGAGAGTTTAAATAATTATGCTTTATGTGAGATGTGTGTGTTAGAAACTGAAAAAAACTGTAACTGGACATTTTCTGATCACACACATTTTATTAACATCAAAGTATCTCATTTGTTAGTCGATTTTGGAAACAACAATAACATTTAGTCTGTGAAAATACACGTCATTATAAATGTATCTTCTTTTTTCCAGAGCAGTGAGAATAAAATATCTATAATGAAAGAAGCTCTGCTGCTTTCTCTCTTAAGACTCAGGCATTCAAAGAGAAAGAACTCAATATAAATGCATCAATGGAAATATTCAACAAATATTTAGAGCAAACTTTAAATTTTCATGCAGAGAAATATGAGTTGAGGTGAACAGAAATCCTCCTGAGCAGTGACAGCCTCCATGGCTACACAGACACCGGAAGGAGCACCGCCTGAAGAAACTCCAACATACAGAACAACTCATGAGAAGATGTTAAAGCACATCCCATCATGTTTGATTGACAGCTGATCTCTGCAGTGAAGACATGAACAATCAGCTCTCAGCAACAATGATGGACTCAATGAGTTTAAGAAGTAGAAGAGTTCCTCAAATGACTTCAGGCTATTTCAGTTTACACAACTCAGCTGTGTCTCCAACATAATAAAGCCAAACTCCAGCATGTAGCGGCTGAGTGAATGTGGTCTGGACTCTGTGGAGGAGAGTCATGGTTTCAGAGACGCTGTAGAAGGACAGAATACCTGCTCTGTGATCCAGGTACACTCCTACTCTGGAGGACGGAGGACCTGAGACGGGAGTTTTGATATTGTTGTAACGAAATGAATAACTGTTTTGGTCACAATCTAAGGACCAAGATTTGTCATTGTTTCCAAATAGACTTTCCCCCCACCTCCCTGCTCTGATGATATTCTTGTATGCGACTGCTATACGAACTCCTCCCCCTCTCCGCTCCACCTCCCAGTAACAACGTCCAGTCAGACTCTCTCTACTCAGGACCTGAGGATAAACAGTGAATCTGTCTGGGTGACGAGAATAAGACTGTTGTTGTCCCATGCGTGTTGCTTTTCTGCTCCCCTCAGATAATACCAGCTGTGTGTGTGCTGTGTTTGGATCCAGAGTGATCTCCTGTGAATATGTTAAGAACCCAGCTCTGGTGGTGGGCTCTGCTGCTGACAGTAAAACATCCACTTCAGTCGGTGAGACGTTGGTCCATTCCTCTCTCAGGACGTCCTGTAGTTTGTCTCTGACTGCTGACAGGGCCGCCGTCACGTCCTCAAAGTAGCTCAGAGGACGGATGTTGATGCTGGAGGAGTGTGTAGGATCACTGAGGGCTGACAGTGAGGGGTAGCTGTGCAGAAACTGGTTGTGATCCTCTGTGTGAGACAGCAGCTTCAGCTCAGCGTCTCTCCTCTTCAGCTCAGAGATCTCCTGCTCCAGCTTCTCCTGGAGCTCTCTGACTCGACTCACTTCTCTCTTCTGCTGGGATCTGAGCTGCTGCTTCACATCAGAGCTTCTTTTCTCCATGAGACGGATCAGCTCAGCCTGAGGGGACAGGACATATTTTTCAGCTGAAGACTGCTTTCAAATGTAGAGCAGGTTGTAAGCAAGGCTCCGTTTGTGAATGAGGAAACAGTTCAGAGTGTCTGCTCCTCCTGGAATGAGTCAGAGTTTAATGAGCCCTCCCTCTTCTTCCTGCTCTCAGACACAGCCAGCTCCACTCTGTATTTCCTGGTTCCTCCCCTTTAGATCCACACTGTGGAGAATGGGTGTAACCAAAACGTAAAGTACAAGAGCTGATAGGCCAAATTCACCGCCCACACACATGTTGTTCAGATCACAGCTCATAGTTTCAGCTCTCAGGAAGTGAAACTCACACACTCGCTCCCACTGAGAGGTGAAATGGCGCAGAAAGGAGTTCAGCTGGACCGGGAAATCTTATCTTGTTCCATCTGTCTGGATCTACTGAAGGATCCGGTGACGACTACCTGTGGACACAGCTACTGCATGAAGTGTATTAAAGGCTTCTGGGATGGAGAGGATGAGAAGAAGACCCACAGCTGCCCTCAGTGTAGGCAGAGCTTCACACCAAGGCCTGTCCTGCTGAAAAACACCATGTTAGCAGCTTTAGTGGAGGAACTGAAGAAGACTGGACCCCCACCTGCTCCTGCTGACCTCTGCTATGCTGGAGCTGAAGATGTGGCCTGTGATGTCTGCACTGGGAGGAAACTGAGAGCCTGTAAGTCCTGCCTCATGTGTCTGGCCTCTTATTGTGACAAACACCTCCAGCCTCATTATGAATTACCTGTCTTTAGAAAACACATGCTGGTGGAGCCCTCCAAGAAGCAGGAGAGCATGTGCTCTCGTCACGACGAGGTGATGAAGCTGTTCTGCCGCACTGATCAGCAGTGTATCTGTTATCTCTGCTCTGTGGACGAACACAAAGGCCACGACACGGTGTCAGCTGCAGCAGAGAGGACTGAGAGGCAGAGAGAGCTGGAGGGGAGTCGACTAAACATCCAGCAGAGAATCCAGGACGGAGAGAAGGAGGTGAAGCTGCTTCAGCAGGAGGTGCAAGCCGTCAATGGCTCTGCTGATAAAGCAGTGGAGGACAGTGAGAAGACGTTCACTGAGCTGATCCGTCTCATGGAGAAGAGAAGCTCTGATGTGAAGCTGCAGCTCAAATCCCAGCAGAAGAGAGAAGTGAGTCGAGTCAGAGAGCTCCAGGAGAAGCTGGAGCAGGAGATCTCTGAGCTGAAGAGGAGAGACGCTGAGCTCAAGCTGCTGTCTCACACAGAGGATCACAACCAGTTTCTGCACAGCTACCCCTCACTGCCAGCCCTCAGTGAACCTACACACTCCTCCAGCATCCGTCCTCTGCGCTACTTTGAGGACGTGAAGGCGGCCCTGTCAGCAGTCAGAGACAAACTACAGGACGTCCTGAGAGAGGAATGGACGAACGTCTCACCGACTGAAGTGGATGTTTTACCGTCAGCAGCAGAGCCCACCACCAGAGCTGGGTTCTTAAAATATTCACAGGGAATCACACTGGATCCAAACACAGCACACACACAGCTGGTATTATCCGAGGGGAGCAGAAAAGCAACATACAAGAAACAACCACAGCCTTATTCTAGTCACCCAGACAGATTCACTAATTATCCTCAGGTCCTGAGTAGAGAGAGTCTGACTGGACGTTGTTACTGGGAGGTGGAGCGGAGAGGGAGAGCAGTTCGTGTAGCAGTCGCATACAAGAATATCAGCAGAGCAGGTTGGGGGGATGAAAGTGGATTTGGAAACAATGACACATATTGGTCCTTAGATTGTGACCAAAAATATTATTCATTTCGTTACAACAGTATCATCACTCCCGTCTCATGTCCTCTGTCCTGCAGAGTAGGAGTGTACCTGGATCACAGAGCAGGTATTCTGTCCTTCTACAGCGTCTCTGAAACCATGACTCTCCTCCACAGAGTCCAGACCACATTCACTCAGCCGCTACATGCTGGAGTTCGGCTTTGTTATGATTATGGAACCTCAGCTGAGTTCTGTAAACTGAAATAGCCTGAAGTCATTTGAGGAACTCTTCTACTTCTTAAACTCATTGTGTGTCCATCATTGTTGCTGAAAGCTGAGTGTTCATGTCTTAACTGCACAGAGATCAGCTGTCAATCAAACATGATGGGATGTGCTTTAACATCTTCTCATGAGTTGTTCTGTAGATGTTGGAGTTTCTTCAGGCGGTGCTCCTTCCTGTGTCTGTGTAGCCATGGAGGCTGTCACTGCTCAGGAGGGTTTCTGTTCACCTCAACTGATATTTCTCTGCATGGAAATGTAAACTTTGCTCTGAATATTTGTTGGATATTTCTTTTGATTCATGTTGTTGTTTCTCTTGTAAAGCATGAGTCTTAGGAGAGAAAGCACCAGAGCTTCTTTCCTTTTAGATATTTTATTCTGGCCACTTTCTAAAACAATAGAGACATTTCTAATCACATGTATTATTTTGACAGATTAAATATTATTGTTGCCCAAATTAACTAACAAATGAGGTACCCAGATGGTTATCACACTTATTTCATCATAACATGTTTATTTAAAATGATATTACTTACTGTCATGATCATAATCAATAAGTAAATCATTTATTATTCTCCTGTCAATAGCTTGTTTTGGATATAAATTGTATAATATTACAGTTATTGTTTTGCAGACTAATTGTTGTTGTTGTTATCCAAATAGAAAGTGGGTACTCTGATGTTTTATAGAACATTAATTATCATGATAACAATCAATAAGGAAATCATGTATTATTCTGTTTTAAATAGCTGAGATTAATCACATGTATGGTGTGGATGAAGTGAATCTGATCATGAAATCATTGAACAGACTTTACTGATGGAATGTGTGATCAAATTAAATGTTTGGATAATTAATAAAGGTTTGTCTTTCAAAAATAAAAAAGGATGTTCCTCTTGTATTATGTCCAAGGTGCCATAACATTTAACAATTTTCATTCAAATCATTTCACTTTTCTACATTTGTACGCTAAGTTCAGCAGTTTGTAGCTAAAAGCAGCTACAGTAACCATTCAACTATTCAAATATTAAGCTTTTTCTGCATTTTCAGCTAAATTCAGCAACAAATTTGCGCAGCTTACAGCATTCACACGCATTTTCAGCCGGAAATGCATTTTCTAGTCTAACTACAACTGCCTCCATGAAACTACGTAGAAATCCTTACAGACCAGCTTTCTCTGGTGAGTATTTAACTACATTTAAATGTGTATACTTGTGGAAGCCCATTCTCTAAGAAGGAAAGTTGCATAGTTAACAATGGTGAAAGTAACTTAGTACATTTACTCAAGTAATGTAGCCTACTTAAGTATAATTCGGGTACTTCTACTTCCACATCATTAATACAAATCTGCAAATTAACAAAAGGTATTAAATAAATGTAGTGGGGTAGAATTACAAAGTACCTCAAAAACGTACTTGAGAAAATCTACTTTTCACCACTGTACTTCAAGGCTTTTAATGCACTTAATTTATTTGACAAAAGTAGTTGCTTTTTATACAAATGCATGTGTTTATATGATATCTATGTTCTACAAATTGACTCAGTACTTTCCAAAATGTGTCCAACATTAAAAAAACTCATGTATTTTCTCACGATGAAAACAAGATATTATAATATTGTATAATACAACTCTTATATAAAAGAATACTTTTACTTTTAATACCTGAGTGCATTTAGCTGATAACACTTCTGCCCAATAGACAATAAATAGAACTTCAACACTTTTCTTCTGTGACAGTTTCAACCTGCATGGCACTAAAATAAATATATATCAAAGGTGAACCTGTCAGACTCCAAGTGGGAGGACTTCCATGTGATCACTGGAGCTTAAAGATGTACTTCAGAGAGCTGCCGGAGCCTCTCTTCACCTACGCTCTCTTCCACGACTTCATCAGCGCAATCAGTACGTGAAACACACAGCTTCACCAACACCATCTGCAGTCATTCACGCATTAACTCTGAAGTCAGTCTACTGTCTGTAACACCAGGAAGCCTCTCTAATAGGGTTGCCAACTTCCAGAAATGGAAAAACACACGTTTTTTTAAAAGGGGGCAGGTTTACTAGGTTTATCTGCGAAATAATCACCAGGATAATGATTGACTGTATTGCCAGACCTAATGTCAATAATCTGCATTGTAAACATGACACAAGGTGGCGCCATATCCATGTCATTCATGTCAGTAATACTTGGTGTGAAAGCGGCTATTAATGTAGCCTACTACTTTACATTTACCCTCTGTAACTCAATAAAGTTGCCTTGCCTTGAATGAAATTCACGCAACTCTTAATATTAGATACTGTGTTTTTAAGTGGCAATGGAGATTATTTGTTGACCCTGCTTTAAAGGATATTTTGCCTTTACAAATGGTGCGCTTTATCACTGCCTGGGTTTTGGTTGAAGTGCATCCAAGTGCTGCTGCGTTTTCGCGTTTGGCTCATTTTCCATCCGAAAAACACATCGTCTACCTGTCCTGTCACTTGTTATGACTTCTCTCTCGCGCGCGTATTCCGTTAAGACCCACCCCATCTCACTCCTCGTGCTGAAACCTATGGCTGAAACCTACCAGCATACGTTTGGGGAACAAAATCAAGGTTTTTAAAAGGCGAGTGGATTTTGGCAGGCAGTGAGTGCGGACCAACGATTCAACGATAAAAAGGACGGCTCTCACCAAGTACGACTCGGTTCCCCTCGTTCGTACCAAAGAGCCGTTCAAAAGAATCGGCTCGTTCGCGACCGACACATCACTACAACATCAGCCGTTAGCTGTTAGCACTCAGAGCTCACAGCTCTTCATATCTGTTCGACTCCACTTCGAGCAATAGAACTAATAACAAAGCACTTATATACTAATAAAGGACTGGCTTATCTAAAGCCAGTTGAGTAGCACTTGAAATACTTTTGCTCTATGAAACCTGATGTACTTATATGATTCTGTTTTCTTCAAGTTTGTATTTTGTTGGTCGAACGCACTTATTGTACGTCGCTTTGGATAAAAGCGTCAGCTAAATGCAATAATGTAATGTAATGTAATGTTCAGAAACTAGACAAAAGTTAAACAAGTACAAACCACAGACTGCCTGTGTCATGGCGAATACAGTCGCTGGTTTATTTATGTCTGTATAGGCCGTTGTTGTGAGTGTGGACGGTCGGAGCATATACTGCGTTAGCTTAGCCGAACTCCATTCAAACACACGCATTTTAAAAAGGTTTTTCGCCTGCCGTCTGTCTGCAGACTTGTCAAAGCATTAATTCATGGTTTTTACTAACCGGTATCAGTATGTTGTTCTTCGGCATCATTTTGAAACGTGTATTACAATTAAATCACGGTCAAATATGTTCATCTTGTTGTAGTTGTAGCCCCCTTGCCAGCGATTCTCTCTCTAGTTTAGCATATTCAGCCCGACTCAGCCCGGTTGTTGGCCCGGAAAGAACCTGGATTTTGGAGGGCCAGAAAAACTGTGAAACAGTACCCGTTAGCCGGACTACCACTAGTGGAAACGCAACAAAACACGGGCCGGGTTTGCAGAGGCACGGGAAGTTATTTTGGGTGGGGGTGCTGAGGTGGTGTCTGATGTGCTAATTACGCACCAATGGGGGGGGGGCTGGCAAAACCACACACACACAGCATAACAATGGACTCCAGTGAATACTATTACGGGCACTATAGAGCATGCCCAAAAGCACTAGCACACACACTACAAAGATGTAAAATATTATTTTACCAACAATGTGGAATTTATTGGCTACATATTACACAGATGATGCACGGCTGCAGCAGCAATAACAATAAAATAATAATTCAAACACCACAAACATGATATTAACCAGTAGGCTATACAGATTATGCACATGATTTTGCAGATTTAGCGTTTTTAGAGAGAAAAAATTCCGAGATACAGTACGTTTTTGCGCCATGTGAGTTACTTGTGGTGTTGTGCGTCACGTTAAAAGTAGCCAACTAAAAACTAACAAAAAACTTTTTTTCCACATCTTTTTTATTTTTCTTCCCAGAAGCAAAATTATTTATTATATAGTTTTAAATTATCATTTCAATAATAACATATAATATAAAATATAATCTCAGGCACAATGAAATGAAATAAATATATATAAAATAAAAATAAAATAAATGTGCAGACAGGGGAGCTCCGCACTGCCTGCCTGCTGCTAGGGGGTGCTGCAGCGCCCTCAGCACCCCCCCCCCTTCCCGCGCCCCTGCGGGTTTGGCACGGCACGCTTCAACCGTGCTACGCGCTGCAGTGGAAATGCGCCATAACTGAATTATTCTCTTCTCAATTATCCTTTTATTTCAAGGAATTTCTTACAGTATGGAGATATTTTTGTTACAGATCCTTGAATACTTAATTTAGCATTTATAGATATTTTAGCTTTTGCAGTAAGATATTGAATCCTTTTTTTTGCTCCAGTTAAGTACAATACATCATCATTGTTTCACTGACTAGGGTCATGTCAACAGCATATTAAGTTTCAATATGTTATACGCTGATGTTATTCCGATTTTATTAGCTTTCTTTGGACATATAGCACTTTCAGAATATGCGTTTCAATTTGGTTTTTTTTACCACATTTTGCAACACAGCCTAGCAAACAGGTAGATGTTTTGTTGTTGTTGCAAAACAGTGATAAGGCTCGTTAACTGCAAGTTGATAAGGAGGGAAAGTAAGCATCAATAGCAAGGCTGCATGTAAACTGGATTATTTTAGAAATAAATACTCTTTTTAAATATCTTTGTAAACATCTTAGTACACATATTATCTTTTAATTGGAATAAGTAAAACAATCTGCATATGTTGTGGATGTGGAAGTAGTCAGTGAAACAACAGAAGGAGGCATGAGACTCTTTGATGAATCCAGATGATTCACTTTGATAAATGTTGTGTTTTCTGTTGTGCAGAGAGTCCAGACAACAAGCAGCGGGTTCAGTCCATCAACGATCTGGTCCGACAGCTGCCCGTCTGCAACCACGCAACCCTGTCTCCTAAAAATTACGTTCCCACAGAACTAAACTGCATTCTCAATTACGTTTAGCTGGAAACGTATTTTATCCCACGTAACGTTTGTTATGAACAGTGGTGTAGTGGGGATTTTTTACTGGGGGGATGCTATTTTAATTAGGTCATCCCAAACAATGCCACTTGGGATGTGCGCAGTGCACTCACAAAACGGGCAGACAGGTCCACAGAAACTACCGGTATGCTTAGTCCTACTTTAGTTACTGTACTGCAAAAAGCAGACGGCGCTGCGCTCAACACACACACAGACTCAAAACCATGGACACACTGGCACATAAGTTACATAAACAATTTATAGGCCTAAATTGCATAAGCTACAGTATTGCAACTAAGCAGACAGCGCTGCTTCTCTCTCTCTCTATCTCCACTTTCAAAATCTATTTAAAACTCATAACAAACAAACACAATTCCCAAAGTTGTCCTGAAATGAACTTATTAAATAAACGAAACAAAAAATATAGCCTACTTATGCAAACAACATTGAATCTGGACTTGAAATGATTCTGATTAGGCCTAGCCTACATTGCAACACACACACACACACACACACACACACACACACACACACACACACACACACACACACCATTTTCATTTAATTTCAAACCTTTATTTAACCAGATTGGTCCCATTGAGATCATAGATCTCTTTTTCAAGGGAGACCTGCAGCATATAGGCTCCACATGAAACATAAAAAAATAAAGGACATCATACATTATATTTACAGGATACATTTACATAGTTATAGACATTTACAAGTGCCCATAGTATCAACGAGCATTTAGCCTAGCTTTAAAAACATGCAGAGGAATGAGATTGCTCAGTTTCAATTCTTGCTGAAGATTGTTCCAAGCAAGTGGAGCTGCGCACATAAAAGCTGTCTTACCTAAGACAGTCCTTGCTCTTGGCACATCTAACAATACTACATCATGCGATCTCAGACAATAGCTGCTTGCAACTCTCTGTGTTATCAGAGAGCAGATATAATACGGGAGTTTACCCAACAAAGCTTTATAAATAAACGTGTACCAATGACTGAGCCTCTTTACAGTAAGTGATAGCAGACCTGCCCTGGCATACAGGTTACAGTGATGAGTAAGTGCTTTACAATTTGTGAAAAAAATAAATAATACTTTATTCTGAGTGTGCTTGCTTTTCTTTTTGGAAGTCATCACATAACGGCATTGTAATACACGGTTCGGCTGCATTAAATATTACACATCTGCCGTAGTTCTCTATTCATAGAGCCCTGATGAGAAGACTTCGGGACAAACAGGAAGAAATGCCGCCGAAACTGAATCAACTGTGTAGTGACTTTTTAACCTAATTTATACTTAAGCAGCTTAAGTATAGATTAGGTTAAAAAGTCACTACACCGTTCATGAGTAGGCCTACTTCTACTTTTACAACAATCCTGCAATCAAAATGTTCCTCAAGTAAAAGTAGAAAAGTATTATCATCAAAATATAGTGAAAGTAGCAACAGTAAAAGTATTCATTGTGCAGATTGGTCCATTTCAGAATAATATATATGATGTGTTTTTATAATGATTGATCATTAAAGTGTTCTCAAAGCTGGTAAAGATGCAGCTAGTTTGAATGACTTTGTATACTGCAGGGTAGCTTGTGGATTTACTCCAGGTGGAACTAAAGTCTGATTCAACACTTGATTAGATTTCACATCATTCATCCAGATCTGTAAGTAACTAAAGGTAATAAATACATGTAGTGGAGGAAAAGTACAATTTTTACCTCTGAACTGTAGTGGAGTAGAAGAACAAAGTAGCAAAACATTGAAATACTTAAGTAAAGTACAAGTATCTCAAAATTGTACCCAAGTACAGTACTTGAGTTTCTGAACGTAGTTACTTCACACCACTGGCTATAAAGATAGAAAGACTAAGCCTTGCACAGAGGCATGACAATACATTTTGAAAATGCTCAACAGTGCTGCCAAAATTATAAACTGACTGCTTCACAATTAAAATAAATGCTTTTATATATTTATAATAGATGTGACTCTGTTATTATTAACACTGCTGCTTTAGTTGATCTGACTGATAAATCCTCTGTTATTCCTAATTTTAAAGCCGATATTCCGTGGGGTCGGGGGGCTCGGATCCTTGTCACCTTTTTCATACCTGATGAGTGTGCATCCCTGAATATTAAAACAATACTATGAAAGGAGCTATTATGCATAATTATTACTTTTGCTGATACTAAAAGTACATTTTGCTGATATTTACAATTCAGTACTTTCAATGGAGTATTTTTAGACCATAGTGTTCCTGCGTTGGGGAGGAGAGTAGAGCTGTGTTGTGTTTGGAGGAGGGACTTCATCATTTAAAGAAGTAACAAGTTCCTGGTTGGCCAGTAAAGAAAGACAGTCAGCGGTAAACCATCAGAGTCTCAGCATGAAAGTCTCTCACACTTTGATCTGCTTCTTCTTCCTCTTCTGTGAGTACTTCACTTTATTTTCTTCTCAGTAATTTAATCATTTCCGAATATTTTTCCGTTATTCTTAAATTAATGCAAGGCTCCAGCAGTACGAGTTCTTCAAATATTCCAAAATTAGGCTTTTTAGTATCATGCAACCAATGACATATGTTTCACTTCCTCAAACTAACTGTACATCATCATTAAACTCAGTTATTATCTGTTTAATGAATTAGTAAAACTAAGTCACTACGACAGTTTTTTTCTGTGAAATAATGAATATGATTGTTTTCATAATCATTTAATCTGCAAATAATTTTCTTTGATTTGTATTCTTACTATATACATGCCGCTAATGTTAATTTTAAACTTTTTATTATATTTGTATCTTATTGTATCTTTAAAACATTTATAACTCGCATACGGCTTGACACTGCTGCTGGAACTAAAATTATTTCCCAATTTATATCTATCTAAGTGTTTTGTCCAAAAATGTCATAAATAAAAAAAGGTGGTGCGGACATAAAACACTTTTTAGGTTAAGTACTAAAAGGATTTGCGTTAATGTAAAGCTTAAAATAAGAGATGGAGATTTCATGTAGTCTTTGTGTCTAAAGAAGGATAAAGATCTCAGACCAAACGGTCACATTAACCTGCAGTGCTGATGGTGATCTTCAGTCAGGCTGTGGTTTAACTCTGAGGATCTGTGTTCATGTGAAACAGGAAGGGTTTTGATCAGACTGCAGGATATTACAGGAAGTACTGACCACTACTAATGATGGTTCATCTTTTGTTCAGCTCTGCAGGATGGAAACACCGGTCTCGTCAGTGACCAATTCTCTGTCTATTCAGGAATTGAAGGAGAAGATGTCAGAGTAGAATGCTTCATTCCTTCTAATAGAGGCAAGGAGTTCTTCTGTAAGGAAAAATGTGAAGAAGAAGACATTCTCATTGAAACAACTGATACCCCAGCTCAGAGTGGCAGATACAGCATTGATTATGTAGATGGATATTCTTTTGTCACCATCACTCAGCTGACCAAGTCTGACTCAGGACGCTACAGGTGTGCAGCGGTTACACAAGAGGTTTCATACAAGTGTATTGGAATCATTGTTGTTGATGGTGAGTTTATACTAAAAATTGAATGTTCTTCCATGTCTAAATAACAGTTTTAAAGTAAGAAGATGTTTTCTAGCGTGACTCCACAGTGAACAAAGAATCCCAAAATGGAGAAAAGTCTTAATGCATGTGAAATGTATTATGAACTGGCCATATTTAACAACAGCCAAAATATATTACAAACATCCATTAACTAATTCTAACACAACTAATGCTGTATAGTCCAAAGGTCATTTACTGTATGCTCACTACTTCCCTAAAACATGCATTCTGCTTAAACCTCACCGGTTAAAACACTTCTGCATAAAGAGACAATCTCCTCATTTCCTAACAACAGTTAATGCTGAAGTGTTTAGATAAGTCATGTTTTACTAAGTTATGATCATATGAACTCAAGGTAACTCAGGGTATGTAATAATAACAAATTGTACTTTCAAAATAAATGTCAAAAGATCTCCTGCCTAAAGTTCACATATGTAATTATCAGTTAACCTCAATCAGGTAGTATTTGTAATTACAAAGCCAACAACTTTATTAAAGAATTCAAATCTAATATAAATCCAAAATATAATGATATCAAATCAGACTGTGAGCACAACGTAAGATAATAATATGCTAAATATCCTTGGAAAATGTTCTGTTAAAAAGCTGTTTCATTACATTGTCCAGTGACTGGATCAAGTTGGAAAATATACAAAGTTACAGTATAAAAAGTGAAACTACGATTTGTAAACTTAAAATTAATGCTGTCAAAATGATCGCGTTAACGGCGGTAATACATTTTTGGAATTAATTGCATTAAAAATATTTAACGCATTTAACGCATGTGCAGAATGGCCCGCCGAATACATCCCACCAGTGGCAGCGCCAGGGTATGGCTGGGGTAGGCAAATAAAGTCCGCCAACTCGCGCCGAGAATTGCACAGACAGCAGTTAGTAAGATTGATTTCAGTAGCCACTTGTCTGGAACTTGTTATGGAAATCTAAAAACCCCAATACTGTAGAGTACAAGTCAGAAAACAAATAAATGGTGAATCAGACAGAGTTGTCTTTCTGGTGATGTGTATTCGAACAAACATCAGATACAATAAAATATAGACACAGGTCTCACAGAGTATAGGATAGTCTGTGCGAGTGTGCGCAGTTTAATATGGTAACAAAGCTTATATTGAGGAAAGGGTGGGAAGGTCAGAAATCTGTCTTCACACGGTCACATTGTTATTAGACACATGTCCTTGAGCTGTAGATCTCAGGAAAGGCAAGTTCTCCTGTGACTATGTGTGAGTCATAATAGCAGCTGTGGCCTTGAAGTAGAGTAACAAGAGGCAAACAGCACATCTAACCTAATCTACTTTGAACATATAAGGGATATAATAAAAATGTCCACTACAAACTACCGAAGACCAGAAACGGTTTTGAAAACTTTTGTCACGTAGTGATCGTCTTCTCAATAGAACATCTTTGATAATGTCTTCTGGCCAATCAGAATCAAGATAACGGCGTGGTGTTGTTGCAGGAAGTCCCGACGGAGAATACTTTTGCTGTAGTACAGGGGTGCACATAACTGGTACGCAGGTTATGTGCGTAATCTGAAATGCGTACCGTCACTTGTGTCACAAAGCGCATTTGCGTACCGACGTACTTGTGAAGCTTTTCCAGTAGGCGGTTAGATCACCGGACGACAGAGTCGGTCTCCGTGTGCAGAGACAGGGCTGCTGTTAACGTCGGTCTGTATAACGGAATTGTGCCAAAACTACGCCAACCGGCTGCGGAGGGAGACTCCCCCCCCCTTCACTGGAGAACTGCGCTAAAACAGCTATCACAACGTTCACACTCTGTGGTCACGAAGTATTCCACTAGCCCCCCCCCCCCCGTCGACTTTCCTGAAGTACTCCCCCGTTGATAGAAATCAACACGTAATGAATTAAGACCCCACGGTTTGATGATTGATAGGTGTGTGGGCTGTCTTTCATTTTGACACGCAGAAAAATGTTATAATAAACATGTTAAATGGATATATCCGCCTTCTTTCATTTATCTTTCCATTCCCACAACAATATACATAAAGAAATGGCATATTTTAGACATAGTTCGAATGGTGATTAATCATGATTAATTCATTTTTAAGCTGTGATTAATCTGATTAAAAATTGTAATCGTTTGACAGCCCTACTTAAAATAATAACTATTGATTTCTTTTTCTTTTTTCAACAGCAATGCTGGATGGTGGTCCTTTTGCAGAAAAAACAATTGATGCTAGAACTGGAGGGAATATTGTAGTTCGATGCTCCTTTACTCAATATGGAGACAAGAAGTACTTCTGCAAGGGAGAATGTGAAGGAGAAGACAATCTTGTTGAAACAACTAGTAAATCAGATCATGAAAATGGCAGATACAGGATCAGATATACTCATAGATTTTCAACTTATTTTCTGTTTGTGAGCATCGACCAGCTGACCCAGTCTGACTCAGGATGGTACAGGTGTGGTCTGGGCAGACCTGACTCTAAAGATCTATACCAGAGGTTTAGGCTCATCGTCACTGCTGGTGAGTTTCTGCTTGATGATGAACATGTTTCTTCATGTCTCTGTTTTCAATGACAGCTGATGTTTTAAACTCTTTAAATAATTAATTTAAAAGAGTCTAGCTGACAAATGATCTAATTTATCTCATCAGGACTTCTTTATGTCTGCTTGTTTTTGTTCAAAGCTTTGACCACTTCTAGAGATAAGATAAGATAAAAAGTATTTTATTCATCCCAATTTGAGTAATGTTTGTGTTGCAGCACCATAAAAAGACATGGCATTATACAATACACATTTAAAAACTAGAAATAAACAAGAAAGTAGAAAATATACATGTTGAATTTACAATGCTCTCTTCTACTCCATCATCATCCGTCCCATCAGCCTCGACACCAACAGCAAACCAAAGTGAAAGCTCCACAACTACAGGTACATCCACACACTGCTTACTAAATAAAGTTTAAACAACTTATGTGTTACGGCCTAGAGACATTGGACCCCAAAGCAAAAGACTTAGAGAGAGAGAGATGGTCAAAAACAAAAAGTTTAATTTAAGCAGAGGCTCAGTAAACGGCAGTGGAGGCAGGAAGCTGGCTGGCACGGAGACGTCAGGGACAGGAGGCACAAATCCAGGCGAAGAGATCACAGGGACGAGGAGAGCAGTGAGACACACCGCCGGATGGTCAAACACAAATAAATGATCTGGCAGGGAAGTGGCAAGAGGACCGGGGTTGCATTCCAATAGTCCATTTAGTTTAGGAACCTTCCTAACGGAGTGAAATGACCCGGAAGTCCGTCAGTGGCAGCCATGATAAGTGCCGTTCCAATTCTCTAAATGAAAGGAAAGGAGGTTTCAATCTTCCTTTATAACCTCCTTTAGTTTAGGAACCACTGGACCTCCCTAACCGAAAGGAGAGGAGAAAATGCTGCCCCACAATGCCTTGCAGCCGCAGCATTTGCCGTCACTCAACAGTCGGCCGTTCACGGAAACAACCGATTATGACGGAGAAATTATATCATGAAAGTTACGGTGCTTATTAAGCATTTTAAAACGTATAAGTTGCCAAAGTGCTTTGTTTTGAACGTTCATCAGTATTATAATCAAAAAGAGAAATATGAACGTTAGTTTTTACTGAAATGATCAAATAAAGTCAACATTTCACTGAGCTGTGTGGGTTTGTTCAACTTTTAAAAGATGTTTGAATGGTGATATACACAGTGATAGACGTTAAGGACTAACGTTTATAATAAATACATTTGTATTGATTTTAAGATATTTTCATAGTTAATACAATCATACGTATTGGGATCATTTGTATTAATGTGGACCGGAGGGAGAGGGTGACGAGCATAAGTTTCACTTTCCTTTTTTATTTCAATTCCAACTTTGGTCATGAAGAATATGTTTCTCTGTTGTCCACGTTCATAAAGCATAAAGCAACAGCATCAGAGCACGGTGCAGAGTCTCTAGATGAGTTTACAGTAGTCCCTCGTTCTTATTAAACATCCATGTTGTAGTCCGCTGTATAGAAAACTGTAGTTTCCATAGTTTCCCCACAGCAGCAGACGCACATTCATGACGTCCGCTGGCGCATCATAAACACGTCAGATAGTGAAAGTGCATTCGGATTCTCTAAAGTACCGCAGTCTCTCCTCCTAAGTCCTTTTGAATTGTCCTACCCACTATCCCTTAACCCCAGTACTCGAGTTGAGGGGGGATGAGGGGGGATGGCATCCCCCCTGAAATAAAAACGGTCAAAATCATCCCCCTTCTAAAACTGCCATTCCCCCTTTTCATCCCTTATGTCATTTTATCAATGAACGTGGCACTGGTATATTACTGCTATTTCAACATTAATTTTGCGCATTTTGAGTCAAATACTGTGGGCCAGGGAGCACGCACACACGCAATGACATTTTTACCAAGTCACTGACGCTATACTATGCGAGTGCCCTAGAGGGCGCCAGAGCGCCGTGATGCGCCTGTTTGATCGATGCCAGAAGCGCAGGTAACGGTCATCACAATGGCCAAGCGACCAGGAGGACAACGCGATCTGAGGGACTTCATATTTAAAAATACTAAAAATAACATTTCAGGTAAGTCAAGAGTCAGTAATCTTAGTCATTACTCATTACTTTAGTCACCAAAGGTTGAATCTATGGACATAAGCAGCAATAACAACTTAGTTTGGAGTTATACGTTTTTCTCTCGTGTTAGCTAGCTGGTAAGACTCAAAACTATTGATTAAATGATACCACCAGCACCAGAAGAGCTGAAACCCCTCCTTCAAGCAGTGAACACTCTGGTCATCTCCACAGCTGAGTGTGAACGTGGGTTTAGTCAGATGAACATTTTAACCACAACTAGAAGCTCCCTAGAGGTAAAAAGCATGTCAGCCTTGCTTTTCATCAAGTGTGTTGGCCCTCCACTGAACAAGTTCAGACCAGAGGTATATGTCAAGACTTGGCTTCAAAGCCATTGCTTAGCTAACAATCCGAAAGCAAGAGCCAGAAAAATTGAGACCAAAAAGCATGATTATGAAAATCTTTGGAAACTTCTATGAGATGGGGGAGAGTGGAGTAGGCAGCCATTGACAACATTGGTCCTATTTTGTATTATCTGTATAATCTTTTAATATATTTTCATATTTTGTAAACAATTTCAATTTGCACTTAATGCCCTGTTAAAAAAAGTAACATTGGGAATGTTAACATAAAATATTTGTATTTGAACTGCAATAAAATGATGACGGATCAATATTTTTCTCATTTTTTTCCTCAAATTTTTCATGAAGAATTTACATAATGATTGAATTAATTATGATAAAAATGTAACCCTTTAGATACCAGTTTTGATCGTAAAAATACACTATAATTGAATATTCTAAAAACTATTTTGACTTTATTATTAGTATAATCAGTTGATCCATCTGAATAATAAATGAGGGACTGTTAACCTACAAGATTTGTACCATATACTTCCATTATAACCACATTTTTGTATCCCCTCCCCCCCTTTCAATTAAAGTGAAAAAAAAGATTTTGCACTAATTGTCCTCTGCATTTGACCCTAAATGTTAGTGGTGCCATGGCAGCCCGGGGACCGACTCTAATTCTTGGTCAAGAGCAATGAAAGGAGTATCTGAACATCCATAACATGCATGTTGTTTTAGGAGTATAATAATTATCTTTATGCTGGTTGGTCTCCCACCCTCTGCGGGTTGTCAGCACAAATTATGTCCCCATATGATCAAATCCACCATCCCCCCTGATTTTTTTTACAACTTGAGTACTGCTTAACCCCGTGACGTTTCACTCAGAGGTCAAGGAATAGGAGATAGGGTTAGAACTTAGGAGCTGATTTTTGGATTATTGGAACGCAACCCAGGCTTTTATGTCAACAGGTGAAGAGGTGAGTGGAAACAGGTGTGCCTCGTCTGCTACTGGGAGGAGCCAGCCAACTCCCTGTCACACACCAGCCCTGCAGAGGAAAACAGAGAAGGGAGGGGGGAGACAGAAGAAAACACAAAAAAAGCACTAAACTAAACAGAATCATCACATTATGAGACATAAAAAAGCATGAGAATGGCCATCCCATTCTTCCATCATAATTTTTCTACAATCACAATCTGTACATTTCTGTTGGCATCGAATACAAAAATGACAAATCATATTTTAAAATGCTTCACCTTAAATCATATTCCCAGCTTTTAAAAGATGTACTCTACTTCTACAGTAGGTATATGGCAAATGCTGTTGACCTGTTGTCTTCCCCTAAAGATAAGCTAATAACCAAATGGATTATGGGATCTCTTAGTGTTGATGTTATAGTTTACTAGTAACTGTAACTTGTTCTTGTGCTCAAACAGGTGTGATCCTGTATGTGTTTCTGACTCTGGTCGTCCTGGTCATCGTGTCATCACTGTCTGTGCTGGTATTCTGCAGGAAGAGGATTTGTAAAGCCAAAGGTGAGGAACCAGGGGGGTATAGTTAAACCTATCCTGCAGGATAGGTTCCAGGATAAAAGATCAACTCAGTGAAAGCACCGCCTGCTGCTGACCAATCAGTGCTCAGTGTGCGGAGGAAATACAGTTTAAACTGCCGTTGCAGGAAAGACGGCCGGCCAAAATCACAGACTGTGTGAACGTGAAAATGAATAGAATATCACCTCCCATCTTCAGAGCAATCCGACTATTATAACTATTATACTATTATTATACTATTATGTTAAGAAAGCTTAATTAAATATCTGCCACAACATAAGTAACCGGATCAAAGTAACATTACGTAGCCTACAGTCAGCGGCACTGTGAGTGCAGACGTCGATGTGTCCCATTATCATTCAGATCATAATGTATCATATATTTCCTTATCTGAGTCAGCTGAGCCGTATCTGGTCGTGCAACACTCACAGTGTCACATACTGTATGCAGAAGTATTATTTTAAGCAACACATTAAGTTGACGAAACACTCGAGTCAAATGTAATTAAAGTCAGATCGTGTTTTAGACGGGGCAGTGATATCATAAACCTGTTAATGAACGCATTCAAACACTTTTTCTGTTACCAGCCGTATTCACCTTGCAGGTGCAGCTATGTGGTTTTTATCCTGGATAAAGTGTTTAAGTCATGGATGTTTACATTTTAACATGGATGTTTACATATTTGACTAATATTATAGTTGACTTTTCATTCAGGAAGTATGACGCTGCGCTGTCAGTATGCTTCTCCATGTTTGTGATTGGTCGAATGCTCCAGATACCACCCTATTTTATGTGAACGCGCACCTAACTAGATAGGGCACGGCTGGCTTGAGCCAGAGATGGGGACTCGAGTCTGTGACTCGGACTCGAGTCGCACTTAAGTCGCACACACAGAGACTTCAGACTTGACTTGGACTCCTGCTCAAAAGACTTCGGACTCGACTTGGACTCGTGTTTTGGGACTCGTGAACAATCATTGTGTTTTCTATTTTTGGCGTATTAAAGGTGGGGTAGGTAAGTTTGAGAAACCGGCTCGAGATCGCTAGAATTTGAAAATACACAACCGGAGAAAATCTGCCACTTCCTCACAGAGCCCCTCCTCCAACACACACGAACGCGCACATGACCAATGAGGGCACGAGATACGTTTGTGCCCCGATGGAAGGCTGACAGGCAGGTAGGCCATCCAGTTACTTTAGCCGGGCCGGCTATCGGGATGTTAAGAGCATTCCATGGAATATAACAAAAAGTGTATCTCGAGCCGGTTTCTCAAACGTACCCACCCCACCTTTAACATTAACATTAACATCATGGTAACACCATGGCGACTGGCGGCACACCTGCAGCTGTCCCGCTTGTAATTAGGTTCAACTATAAAAACTTCGAACAAAACGCCGGCGGCACCAACAAAAGGAGCGCACACTGCAAAGTCTGCAATATTAAAATCAAGGATGCTGGTGCAACAACGTCAAATTTCATCAGGCACTTGAAAACTCACCCGGAGAGGTCAGTCACATTAACGCATATGGACGGTTAGCAAACATGTTTAGCTCAGCATCAGCTATATAATGTTAACTTAGCTTGCTACTAGCTTTGTAACTGAATATTTGAAAAGATGAGTGAATGTTTGCTTGTCACACTTGTTTGCGTTGAGTGGCGTTGACATCCAACTCTTGACATGACATAAAAAAGGTCGGTAACGTTAATCATTACGTTCCGCTGTTAAACGTAGAAAAATACATCGTTACATACATAAATACATCAGGTTACAGGTTTATTGTTGACCACGTAACGTTAATGTTACAGGTTTATCGGGTTACCATTACACTGGGTTTGAGTGAGAGGATAGAGGAATATGTTTATTTATAGTAGACTTAAAAGACGTCATTAGAGACCCAGTGTAATTAAACAATACGGTTGCAGAGGTCACATTTTAACATTTTTGTCCACTGGCCAAATGGCTAGCCTAGTGAATGTTGAAATGTTACCATCCACTCAATAGATTGCCATTGTTATTTTTGGCTGGTGCGTGCAACATACAGTACCAGCCACTTGCATGATTTACCAGCATTTGGCTGGTAAATGGTGTTAATGGTAGATATCTCTTTTGGAACAGGTCATGTTTTAATATCACCAGTTCAGTATATTTCAGATAATATTGCAGCAATAGTTTTTTAGTTGCAAATGGCACAGAACAAATGTTAACTTTTAAGTACTTTTAACACAGTTTCCCTGCGGGGGATTAATAAAGTATTTGTGATACTGATTTCTGATTCTGAAGTGTTTTGCTTATAAGTTGTTTGCATTTAGCTAAAGTGTGATGTTTTTCCTCATATTGCATTGCAATAGCCTGTTTAAAGTGATCATATAACAAACAACTAATCAGTACTGATACTGTATGCTAATAGATATAGGAGTGATAATAATACAGTAAATGCTTTGAATGTCTTAGATATAGCTGTGCAGTATTCTTAACAGACTGGATAGCAGCAGACAATAGAAGGCTTATTACAACCAGAAGAGACATGAGACTTTTATTTTTTAGAGACTTGAGACTTGACTTGGACTCGTGACCAAAGTCTTGAGACTTGATCAAGTCTCACCCCACAAAGACTTGAGACTTGACTTGGACTCGTGACCAAAGACTTGAGACTTGACTTGGACTTGCAAAAAAATACTTGTGAACATCTCTGGCTTGAGCGATCGAGTTGATAGCCAGCGTCGTAGGACAGTTTAGCAAGAGCGGGTTTGTTTTGGATTAAGTCAACCGGATAACTCAAAACATATCCAGGATATGTTGAACTAGATTCGTAGTATAGGCCCCAGGTAACACACACACACAGCATTTTTTTTCTCACAAAAAGCAGCTGTTTTCCCTTGACTTGTTATATTAAACTTAAACACAGACGCAAGCTTATATTTGTTTCAAATGTCATTCCATCCATGACACCAGATAAAGATAACGTGTGTGTGTGTGTGTGTGTGTGTGTGTGTGTGTGTGTGTGTGTGTGTGTGTGTGTGTGTGTGTGTGTGTGTGTGTGTGTGTGTGTGTGTGTGTGTGTGTGTGTGTGTGTGTGTGTGTGTGTGTGTGTGTGTGTGTGTGTGTGTGTGTGTGTGTGTGTGTGTGTGTGTGTGTGTGTGTGTGTGTGTGTGTGTGTGTGCGTATGTATGCGGGCAGCTGTGATATAGATTTAAATGTGTTTTATTGTATAATGGTGTAGTTGCATAGATACTACTAGACTATATGTTCTATGTTCGTGATGTTGCGACTTACAAAGCATAATTGTAGCACCTGTTTCCTCTGCAACAACTGAAGAATCTTCACTCTGCCAGTTCCAGTTATAACAAGACATTTAGTCATTTATAAAAACACACGTAAAAAATAGAGGTAGCTAAGAGGATAGCTTCCTCTGTTTTGGAGTGAAGTCAGCTCATGGGCTTTAAGGCATAAGTAATTTCAATTTGACAGGTTGCTAAATGACAAAATATGTTCTGTTGTTTACAAACTCAAAACACATCTATTTATCTTGTTGTTTAATGGTTGACCCAAATATTGGTTTAAATGGGGAATGTGTGATATCATGTGTGAAAATCTGTGATTCTCTTTCTCAAAGTACTGTTGTGTTTTTCAGAACCTCGTGTGGAAACACAAAATGCTTCTGCACCAGAGGTTAGTTTGAGAAAAGTTGTACAATTTAAACGTTTGAATCACCAAACATTCACTCGATAGGGCTACATTTCTTACATCTGTTGCTGCTTCCTATCCATATTTACTGAAATGCCGGATTTGGCTTTGATTCATTTAAGTTGCTTGTTTTGTTCTGTTTTTAAAGACAGATTTAATCAAGCAATGTTTTTTCCTCCAGGCTGAAGACGACCCGAGTCAACACGCCTACTCTGAGATCAAATTTGTCAGCGTCGGCTCTTCCCAAAGCAGTTTCCACGGTGACGCTGAGCGTGTTATCTACTCTGTTCCTCAGGTGGAAGCTAGCTCTGATGAGCCCCCTCTGTACTCTACTGTTAACAACCCCCAATAACTCTCACAGTCTGGCAGAAGAAGCTACAGATGTAGCACTCCAGATAGGACTCCACCCAGTGGATTCCAACCAAAAACCCAGTGGATCCCAGTGGCTGGAGGCATTGCCAAATTGCTAGAGGGCGTTGCCAAATTACCCCATTTGTTCAATTACAGGATTTAACCATGAGATGGCGCTTCATTCACAAAACACAAAAAGACAACTGGGTGTTGATGAACTTAGTCTGTTTGCATTGTTTGCAGCTCTGCAGTTGTGTTTGCTGAATACTGTAGCATGTAATCACTTATTTGTTATGGTTTTCACAAGCTACTATAGCGAAAAATATTTGTGATCAAATAAAGTATATCTAATCTTATTATCTTAATTGTAATTCAATAATATATAGTATTTATATATTAAATAATCATAATCATAATGTAAATGTTTACACTTCTTTATTTTTTATGCTCATACTTTTACCTTTACAATGGTTTGCTTTAATATGCAGTATATTTTTGTCATATTGTTGTGGTGTACACAGTACAGTAGATCGAAGTAAATCAACTCATACATTATCACGTATTATAGAGTAATGTATTGTATTATTAAGTAATATCATACATTAACCCCATTATAGCAGATGCCACATTGAATGGATGAACACATTTATGCATCAATAATTACGACAGAGTGTTTCTAAATATAAGTTACAAATGATATGTATATAATACTAATAACATAATGATTCATTTTACTTTCAGATGATAATACTTTTCACTTGGGCTATTGACAATTTTGAATGCAGGACATTTGCTTCTAACTAGGGCTGTCTGTCAGTCGATTAAAATAGTTAATCGCGATTAATTTGCGATTAATCGCGATTAACTATTTTAATCGACATTTTTTATCTGTTCTAAATGTTCCTTAGAGGGATATTTTTCAAGTTTTTAATACTCTTATCAACCTATGAGTGGACAAATATGCTTTATGCAAATGTTTGTTTATTATCATTTGATCAATGACAAATATTCTCATGAATATTAAACATAACAACCACTGAACATTAAAAATATCCGCCTCAATTCAACCTGGAACCTCTCTCATACAATACAATAATACAATACAAAGTGTGTGTGTGTGTGTGTGTGTGTGTGTGTGTGTGTGTGTGTGTGTGTGTGTGTGTGTGTGTGTGTGTGTGTGTGTGTGTGTGTGTGTGTGTGTGTGTGTGTGTGTGTGTGTGTGTGTGTGTGTGTGTGTGTGTGTGTGTGTGTGTGTGTGTGTGTGTGTGTGTGTGTGTGTGTGTGTGTGTGGAGAGAGACACTGTGATGGATCGTTGGAGCTATGTGCAACTCAAGGCATGTGCTCAAACGGGAGATGCCTGGACGCTGCGATCATGTTGCTGATTTTAACCTGTCGCTGTTTTTAAAACTTTAATTAAATGTTTGATATTTCAGACCGGCAATGCTGCCCTGCATGTAATTCCGATAGTTCATCGGAATGTGACAAAAGTCAGAAGTTTCCCATCCCCCTTGGGAGACTTTCTCCACACATTCCGATGGGCAATTGGGATGGTAGAGCTTTGTCACACAATTTCAGGCTTAATGAATAGTGGAAAATACGCAACTAGAAAGACTACAAATCTCAGAATCCCGGTCCGCATGCTGGCTCTTACGGAACCGACTAACTCCCCTTGTGTGTGTGTACAGCTCTCAACATGCCCAGACTTGGAGTGATTTTCACCTCTTTTAATACTTTTCACCTCATTCTGAAAGAAAGAAGTGAAATGTTTCAACGTGACGGCCGTCTTGGTGTGTGGTGCGAGACGGGAGATGTAGTTTATTGAGCGGTTTCACACAAAAAAAAGCATTACATCACAGTTTTACGACAGATTTTTTTTTTTATTTGCAAAATTATCTTTTAAATTGACAAACTTCATATGTGTAATTTGTGGCACAATTCAAACGGAATCGAAAGATAATCTTTCTCTCTCCATTGACTTCAATACATAAGTATATTACAGTATTACTACTACAGTATATTCATATTCGTCAGTGCTTTCATGTCAATTCGGCGAACATAAACATAAATGATCGTGGTGAAGATGATGATTACATTAGGATTAAAAGTCGGTAGTGAGAGCTGCTGCATTTCCTCCTGTCGGATGTGATATAAAAACAAACCAATTATTTTTGTAACTTGTAAACTCACGTGGATTAAACTACATTTATTAGTACTTTCATGTCAATTCGACGAACATATGATACATTAAATGATCGTGAGGTTGATGATTAAAAATTGTTTTGAGCAAAAACATTAAAAAAAACAGAGCGATGGTTTTCTACTTACGCCAACGTGGATTAAACAACATTATTTTGTTAAATAAAAACACGGTGATGTTTTGTAAATGATTACATGTCTCTTATTTAGCACAGAATATGATCCTATCCGTGACATATGGATTTTAACAAATATCCGCTATATCAGACACCTCTACTGTAGATCTATCAGCTGTTTATTAGTGTGAATGCTGTGCCACAGCATTCTACTATAGTTCTTCGAATCTTTATTCTTCCTCTTCTGATTATTTCAGCCAATACTTTGGCTCTTCATAACTTCAGCCTAGTTTCAGCTACAGAAACCATTCACATATTAAACTATTCAGCCTTTTCAGGAATCAATGGGAAACCATCAACTTTTTAAACTCTTTTTTTAAGATGGAAGTCAATGGGACGACTTTTCAAATCCTCTTTTCCTACACCTTACGCCAAATGCTTCTCCTTCTACATACTGTACTTTCAGCTTGAGACTTCATTCCAACTTTAAAATGATCAAAAGACCTTCAGCTATACAACTTGTTATTCAGATTCTTCATATCCTTTACGGTTTTTTACTTATCAACGTTTACGTTTTGGTACCATTTCAGGCTGTTATAGATTTTATAATGGTTGCCTATGGGAGGGACTCTTCAGGGCTGGAGTGCGTGACATCATCACTTAGAGTGTAGAGAGTCTTAAAAATCTTCGGAAAAAATATTTTAAAACTGCTCTCAGAGCCAAAATATACACTCAATTCAAATAATTTCAAAAGATTTCAGGAGCATAATTAGTCTGGCCTGCCCAATTGCCTTCATCATATCAAACGGACCCACCGTTCTGGCCCAATAGTGATCTGAGTGACACAAGTCTACTTAGCTTCAAATAGACTCCCATGTTAAATTTGACCGGAACTTTCTTCAGAACAGAGAGAAGTCCACTTTAGACAAACTGCTCCCATCTTCACATTTGACACACAAAACCCAAAAAAACAACATATATCAGTTCATTGGGGTTCCCTGATGCTCATTTTCTGGTCATTTATTTATAGGAGTATGGGATTAGTTTTGTATCATAAAGATAAAGCAACACTTTCTCAGAATAAAGCAAAACTATGAGTTTAAAAGAAAAAAAAACTGAGTCAAGCAAAATAAAATACATTTCAAAAATAAAACTATAAATTGCAAACAAATCATTTGTGTAATCATGTAAACTATAAGTATCTTTTCTTTGTTTTAACATAGGTTTTTGTTTGCAGTTCTTGTTTATTATTTCTCAATGATCAGACTTTTTTTCTCACTGCAGCTCTTCTCGTTTGCGCTCCCTCATTTTTTATTTTCGATTTTGACACAAACATCCCAGGTGGGCGGGACTTCCAGGGGTGTGTCACTTTAGCACTTTTACTTTAGCCCTTTTACTTTCACTTTAGGACTTTTACTTTAGCCCTTTTACTTTCACTTTAGGACTTTTACTTTAGCCCTTTCACTTTCACTTTAGGACTTTTACTTTAGCCCTTTTACTTTCACTTTAGGACTTTTACTTTAGCCCTTTTACTTTCACTTTAGGACTTTTACTTTAGCCCTTTTACTTTCACTTTAGGACTTTTACTTTAGCCCTTTTACTTTCACTTTAGGACTTATACTTTAGCCCTTTTACTTTCTTTGTTAGTTCCAGGTTTAATATGTGCAATAAGCTCATTTCAATACGTTTTGCAATAAACATTGCACCAGTCCGGCCCTCGACTAGTACCCATTTTTTTTTTTTTTGGCCCACTGTGTATTTGAGTTTGACACCCCTGTCTTAAACAAATTATTTCTGAAATGTGTTTCACAATAATTTAATAAGGTAAATGTTAAAAGCAAAATATATTATTTGCTGCATTAAGTTACAAAGTGTTAAAATGAAACCATACGTGATACACATGCAGGTGTTAGAAGTCAAGCTGTTTATTGTATTTTAAGCAGGGACTCCATCGTTTAGAGAAGTGAAAACATGTTGGTTTGCCGGTGAAGAAGAAAGAGAGACAGCGTTCAACCATCAGATACCTCATTCACACCAAGGGTGTTTCATGGCCGGTTCGGAGCTTGAAAAGCACCGGGTTTTCCTGTTCACACCGCAGCGGAGCAGCCTCTTAGCTCCAGAATCCGGTTCGTTTCAAGCACCAAAAAATTGTCCGGCTAGAGCAAAAGCACCACATACGTCGAGGCGGGGGCAGGGGCGGGATCAACTCCTGAACAACAACACAAAGCCCGCGTTTTATCCAGTTTTTAGACAACAATGGAGAAACGTAAAAAGCAGCAGTGGTCCACTGAAGAGACCAGCTACCTTCAGGTAATCTGCAACCCAGTCTCACGGCATTTCGTGTTATAGTCACGACATTTAATCTATTGATTCGTGTTCACCAACACGATTTTCCCCTTTTTTTCGTGTCACACAGAACAATTTTAAAAGCAATGTATTTCTATTGGTAGTATGTTTCGTGCCTGCAGCACATCTTTTTGTCCGTTCGGGTCGTGGAAGACCGGAAGCTGTGGGGTTAATAAAAACATGTTCTTACTCAATATCAAGCCACGATTATTGTTTTTATTTTAAATCGTATAATTTCGGACTTTTGTTGCCGTCTGTGAGGAAAAGAAATGGGGCTCAGAGCCTCAGAATACTGAAATCTGTATATTTCTAAATCTTTTTTTCCTTCTAATTTGTTATTCTTTTCTAAATAACACACTGTTATTTACTCACCAATAACACACAATTATCCTTGTTTTTATTTATATATTTAATTCCACAATCTCGGGCTTTTTTGGCGTCCGTCAGGAACTGAATTTCAAAATAAAAATAACCGGAAACAGACGTAGCATCATTGCGATACACAGCCACTGAACCAGTGGCGGCGCCAGAGATTTTCTCTAGGGGGTGCTGTGGGGTAGCTTGACGT